AAAATTGAAGAAGAAATTGAGATTTGGTAGAAAAAGTTCTTTGAAATTGTTTTATTTTGACTTAAAATGGAAGAACACCATAAAAGACAAATTTATCCTTTATTTTCACGACCATAACGGAGCAAAGTAACGGAAGGATCACGAGCGGTAACAATTAGAAAGTCAGAGGACCACGGGTGGTTAATTTATATATATATATATATATATATATATATATATATATATATATATATATATATATATATAGGATCCGGATCAGGTCCTCATCCTAATCTTATGTGAGGACGTGAGGACTAATCTAGACCATTAAATCAGAATGATGTATGATTGAGATTAAAAGAAACAAATCACACGGATTAAGAAAACAAATCCCTTTAAAATATTAAAATATATAAATTTAGGGTAAATCAGTCTTATTAAAAGATGTGCATTCCTATACAAAATGTTGTGCATTCCTATACTGAGTGTTGTGCATTCCTATACTGAGTGTTGTGCATCAATAACTTCATTGTTGTGCATTCAAACCCCGCCAAAAAATCATACAGTGAACATCCAATGTTCTACGATGCATTGAACTATGTGCTATAATGCACAACTCCCTAGCCTATAGTGCACAACTTACAACACTAGGTTGTACAATCAGCACACACGAATGCACAATCGTACTACCCAGGCATTTATACATATACACGATAATCCAAATATAGACAATATTATACTCAAAAGAACAAGCGAAAAAAAATAAAAAAATACTGATTAGTTTGCATGGGCGAACACTCAATCAATGATGAAGAAATCGCGGCTCCAAATTGCAACGGTGATGATAACAAATACCAATTTTGGTTCCACGAGTATTAGTCTCATTTTGGTTCACATGTTTAATCCTTACCAATTTTCATCCACGACTATTATTTTAGTGTAAAAATTCATCACGCCGGTCACTCCTCCATTTAATACATGCCGAAATCTAAAAATTTTAAGGGTACTTTGTTATTTTCAACTTAAGATTCCAATTTGAGCATGAATAAAGAGATTTAAGCCCTAAGATCAATCATAATTCACAGTTCTCCTCCTCATCCTACCTTAGTTTGAGGAGGAGAACTACAAATTGGATTGATCTTAAGGCTTAAATCCCTTTTATTTATGCTCAAATTGAGATCTTAATTTGACAATGTCGAAAATACCTTAATAATTTTATATTTTGACATGTCTTAAACGAATGGGTGACAGGCGTGATGAATTTTGGCACTAAAACTATAGTCGTGGATGAATATTGATACTAAAATAATAGTTGTGGATAAAAATTGGTAGGAATTAAACATGTGAACTAAAAATGTCATTTTGCTAATACTCGTGGGACAAAAATTGGTCTTTGCTCAATTAGGAAGCTATGGAATATGTATTAGGATTAGAAATTATTAGGCTCAATATAATATTCCTAGAATAATATGGATTAGGAAACTATAATATCTCTAGGATAATATTAGTCGCAAATTATGCCGTGGAATCGTGTTCACCGAGAATGGTGAACACAAGTCAAAAAGACGTCGTTTTTAGGCAAAAAAAAAAAAAAATCGCGGATGTGGAGTTAACGGCGCGTTACTGATCAAATTATGAATTTTCTGTTATGAGATTATGAATTTTATGAAAATTCATAATCTCATAACAGAAAATTCATAATCGCATAACAGAAAATTCATAATCTCACAACTGAAAATTCATAATCTCATAACAGAAAATTCATAATCTTATAACAGAAAATTCATAATCTCATGGTTCCAAAGTGAATGTGTAGGCATGGTTCCAAAGTGAATGTGCAGGCATGGATTCATAATTTATGAATGTACGTGATTTCGGACGGGAATATGTGGGCATGGTTCCAAAGTGAATGTGCATGCATGAATTCATAATTTATGAATGTCCGAAACTCCGAAATTATGAATGTAATGAAAATTCATAATCTCATAACAGAAAATTCATAATCGCATAACAGAAAATTCATAATCTCATAACTGAAAATTCATAATCTCATAACAGAAAATTCATAATCTCATAACAGAAAATTCATAATCTCATAGTTCCAAAGTGAATGTGTAGGCATGGTTCCAAAGTGAATGTGTAGGCAGTCACGTAATTAATTAATTAAAAAAAAAAAAAAAAGAAAGATAACGGTGCACTAACACCGTTGGAACCGTGTTCACCATGAATGGTGAACACGGTTCCATGGCATAACGTCTGAATATTAGTACAATATTCTCAAAATAATTTTGGGTCACATAATATATTTTAATAATAGGCTAGTATAATTATGGATTATATGATAGAATAATTTTGAAGATATTAGTGTCAAAATAATTAGATATTACAATCTACCCCTTAGGATGCTTCGTCCCCGAGACCCAAATCATATTAATTACCAAAATAATCCAGTAATGACCACTAAAAGAATAAGCAATAACATAAACAAATAAGCAATCAAATTAATTTTTTTCACCAAGGCCAAATAAATTTATCAAATTAGATGACACCATTTATAGTACACATAATGCATCAAATTACAAATACCATAGTAATATGCGAATAATCAAATAAATATGCATTAATATGCAATATCTCACATCTTCACTATGGCTTTCAAAATTTTTAATTCCTATATCCTCGATCTCATAACCTAGGTCTCATAATCTTTCAGAAAATTCTAACAATGGGTGAGATGCCTATGTTTGTTTTATTCTTCTTTAAGTTGGGAAAAAAAAAGATAAAACAAAATGAAACAGATTATTCATCCAAAAGGGTAGTTCGCTTTTTCTCTCTAGGGTTTTCTAGAGCTCTATCTACGTTCCTACTAGGGTTTCTGCCTAGGGTTCCGTTTTGCTTCGTTTTTTATGGTGACTTGTGCGACGTTTCCAGTGCTAATCACCGCGCCTGGTGTGGACGATGGAGCGACAGCCAAACGCCGATGTTGAGGAGTTGGTGGAGGGGTATGCGGGGATCACCTTGCATGACGAGGAGGATATGTTGGTTCCGGCAGGGGAGGTTGTTGCAGCGGAGACGGGGGGTGAGCGCCGTACGTGGGTTCTTGTCGGAAGGTTCTTGACGCGACGTATAGTGAAGCTTGAGTTCATGCGGGAGGTTTTGGCCTCCGTGTGGCAGCCCGTGTGTGGTGTGCAGGTCTCAGAATTACAACCTAATCTCTTTATGTTTGTTTTCTATCATCAGACAGACTTGCAGCGTGTGTTGGATGAGGGGTCATGGTCGTTTGGTAATCACACCTTAGTGTGTAGACCGGTGGAAGACGGGGTACTGCCGGTGGATGTGGTGCTTTATAGTGTTGATATGTGGGTCTAGGTCTATGGACTCCCAATGGGATATACGTCCACGGTCATACAAGAGCAGGTTGGTAATTTCCTTGGCGGGTTTGTGAAGGGGGATGAGAGGGTTGATGACCGGCCGTGGAAGGCGTTTTACCGGATCCGTGTTAGTATTCCGGTGGCTAAACCCTTGCGGCGGAGGATGAAGTTGGCTAAACGGGATAATACGTGGTGTTGGGTGAGTTTCAAGTATGAAAGGTTACACATTTTTTGTTTCTTTTGTGGCTTGCTAGGCCATTCATACAAGTTCTGTTTGCAAGCACGTAATTCAACTCTCACGGTGGATCAATATCCGTATGGGGTTGAGATGAAGGCGGGGTTGCCGCGTGGACCAAGGTCGGCTGGCCATTCTTGGTTGGTTCCGGTGGGGGTGAAGAGGGAGGAGGTGGTTGTGGGAGGGGGGATGCCGGTTGTCTCGGGAATGGAAGGCAGTTTGGGGGGTGTTCCGGTAGGGCAGCCGGTGGCGGAAGAGGGGGTGACGTGTGGACCAAAAAGGCGGAGGGAGGAGGGACGGGATGGTGAGGGAGTTGGGGAGAGGATTGGCGTGGATGTGGCAATGACAGACATTTCAAAAAACTTGTTCATGGCGGGTTCTGGTTCCCAGACCCGCCCGTCATTATTAGTACTTTGAGCTGGAAATGTCGTGGCTTGGGTGATCCACGAACAGTTCGGGAAGTGCTGGATATGGCGTCAAGAAAGAAGCCCGATTTTATTTTTCTAATGGAAACGAAGGTTGGTAGGGATCATGCTGAGCGGTTACGTGTGAAGTTGGGGTTTCAGGGTTTGTTCTATAAGTGGATAATAGGGGTTTGAGTGGTGGTTTGGCCCTGTTGTGGAAAACGAATGATACAGTGAGTCTGCTAAGTTATTCAAGAAACCATGTTGATGTAGTTGTACGGATTGATGGTTTTGCGCCTTGGAGGATGACGGACTTTTATGGTTTCCCGGATCGTGGTAGTAGGGAGGAGTCATGGAACCTTTTAAGACACTTAAGATCTCGTTCTACGCTGCCTTGGGTGGTCTTGGGGGATTTCAATGACTTGCTCTTCCAGTATGAGAAGAGGGGACGTTATCGGCATCCTGAATCGTTGTTGAGGGGCTTTGGTGAAACTCTGGAGGACTGTGGTTTGGTACAGATCCCTATGATCGCGTACCAGTTTACCTGGGAGAAGGGGGAAGGCACGGAGACTTGGGTGGAGGAGAAGTTAGACAGGGTTGTGGCGAGTGATGAGTGGCGAACGGTGGTGGAAGGTGCAAGGGTCTATAATATACTGACTAGGAGATCGGACCATTCGGCTCTTTTCCTAGACATACGGACAGGAGCGGGGACCCGTGTTGGGCCACGACATTTCCGTTTTGAGATGACCTGGTTGCTGGATGAGGGTTGTAGGGAGGTGGTGGAGGAGGCGTGGGGACATGGAGTGGAGGATTTGCAGACCCGTTCGGAGAGGTGTGGTATGAGGCTTCAGAGTTGGGGTGGGGATCGTTTCCATAAGTTTGGGGAGCGGATCACAAGCCTCAAGAAACAACAGATGAATTGTCGGGGACATTCCTTTGCTTAATGAGTTATTTTCATCCGGGGATGTTGAGCGAATTACTACGATACCAATTAGTCCTGCCTTTGATGATATGTGGTATTGGCATGGGGACCCAAAGGGGATTTATACAGTAAAGGGCGCTTACCGTGATTTAATGGGGACCGTTATTGTACTTCCCAGTGGCTTTTCATCTTGGAATAAAATTTGGAATCTAAAGGCACCCCCTAAGTGGAAGGTTTTCTTGTGGAGAGCGGTGAGGGGAGTGCTTCCCACCACTATGAATTTATATAATAGGAGGGTAGAAGCCCCATTAGCATGCCCTTTGTGTGCTCTATGTTCTGAAAATGTTTTACACTCTTTGGTACAATGTGATTATTCTAAATGTGTGTGGAATATTTCGAGTTTAATGGTGCAGAGTACGGTGGGTGATGATTTTGGTGCATGGCTTGAGTTGTTATTGCAAAATGTTGATGAGGAGCAGTTCACTTCTATGGTGGCCATTATGTACCATATTTGGTTGCAACAGAACTCGGCGGTATGGGAGCTTAAGGTGGGAAGGCCACGACACGTGCATGCAAGGGCGTTGGCATCCCTTGACGTTTGGCGTGCGGCCGCGGTTGGCACGGGTCTACAGCAGCAGTCCGACGCACCAAGTGCCACTGCTGGGCAGTCAGCCGCGCTACTGTGGTGTTCTTTCGATGCGGCTTTCTCGGCCGCAACAAGGAGTGGGGCGTATGGCATTGTGTTGCAAGACGCGGATGTTGGTTTCATTGCAGCCAAAAACGGACCTCTACCGTTATGTCAGGGACCCTTTATGGCGGAGACTTATGCGTGTAAGGAGGCCCTAGCCTGGCTTAGAGATCGTGGGATTATGGAAGTTGTGCTTCGGTCAGATTGTTCGAACTTGTGTCACGCTCTTGTTAATTCAGCGACAGAGTTTCGCACGTATGATGGTGTAGCTGTTTCAGCATGTCGAGACTTGATAAATTTATTTCTTTCTTGTTCTGTTATTTACATTCCCCGTACTTCAAATGTTTTAGCTCATTCGTTAGCTGAAGCAGCCTCTTTACATGCTTACTCTTCGGTGTGGGAGGATGTTCCTCCTGCTTTTGTTTCGGCTTTGATTGATTAATATATGCAGCAGTTTACTTTGACAAAGAAGAAGATTATTCATCCAAATTGAAGTTTGAAACTCATGTAATTGACTTCTTTTGGTTAACCCGAAAAATGAGATAGTGGAATGAGAGATCTTATTAGAAAAATATTAGATATGGTAGATGAAAATGGGACACAAAAGGACTTGACTGCTGAACCGTATGAGGTAGAAACTCTAAGTACGGTTCTAAGGGAAGGAATTTACCTACCTATTCCGACCGGGAAAAACAACCCCATCTAAGAGCTTCTAATTGAGATATGAATAGGCACTAAGTTGCACAAAAAAGTCATTTTTGGATCAATGCAAAGCCCAAAAAAGGGTTTTTATAAGATTTAAAAGGTCACATAAACCTAGGCTCCCAAAGATCTAAACCTGGCTCTGATATCGCTTTGTATTAGAGCCTAATCAATTTTATTTCTTATGCCAAAGATTTACAATCTATCTAGGCTCCCAAAGGGTCGTACCGCACTGATACCATCTTGTACCAGAGTTTAATCAATTATATTTTTAATATTCAAGATTTCACAACCTAGGCTTCTAAAGGTTCGTACTGCTCTAATACCATATTGTATCATAGTCTAAACAATTCAATTTTTTATTTCTATATCCTCAATCTCATAACCTAGGTCTAGTGACCTTTCAGAAAATTCTAACGATAGAGAAATGCCTATGTTTGTTTTATTCTTTCGAAGGTGAGAAAAAAGATAAAACAAAATGAAACGGATTATTTATAACACCCCCTAATTTTCCAAGCTAATTAAAGCCTTAAATATGCAGATATCTAAACAAAACATAAACACAGCGAAAGACTGAAAGAGGAATATATAAACTGAAAGTAAAAGGGGTGCTATGCCACGCTCATCCAGGGATGAACGCATAGGCTAACATCTGCATAAATCAACATCTAAAACCATACAAGTTCAAGCACTAAGTCTAAACTGGGCTCACAGGCCATAAAACACATGAAAGGAGCTACACTAGCTGGCACTAAACCGCGCTCTCGGCTAAACATCACCTGAAAGAAACACATAAAAGATGGGACGACGCCCGGTCAGCGAATAATGCTGGTAACCCACCAATACTTGTGAAATATCATACATACATATATATATATATATATATATATATATATATATATATATATATATATATATATATATATATATATATATATATATAAGTTCAAAACCAGGAGCAAAGGTCAACACAAGACCCAAACACTCACAACGAAGATAAGGGAACACATCCCAAGACCACAAAGAACAACAACGACTCACAAGGACGGCTCAATGCATAATCTATCATCACACAATAGATTAACACCCGACATGCATAACACAAAAAAATAAGGACACGACAAATGACAACACATGCCTTTGTGACAACACACGTCACAAGAAGAGAACTCACCACAACGGCTACACAAGCCTTCGTGACGTCACCCATCACGAATTGATATGTCTTCCTTATGCCCGGTTCCAACCTTATGGCTACCCCCAACCTTATGTCTAGTTCCAACCTTTACCTCCAGGACCCCTGTACACCAAGTCCAACATTTTCCCTCTGAGGACCGTCGTCCCCTCTCCGACAGATCTCCAACAGAACCACCGATTTCATAGTACACGAGGGTACCGATCGCACACACGGCAACATATGCCACCCAAGAAATACGTGAACCTTACACAAAGGTCACAAACTCCATAATCGCGTCATGGCCACCACGAGGACCACTGCAATACCTTGGTGACTAGTGTCCCATACCACTAATCGTGCAATCCAGGTACAGCCACACACACCACACCTCAACAGGAATCAATCAACGGATCACAACGAAGATATGAAACCATACTCAATCAAGGAATATATCACAGTCCAACAACAAAAATGAATAACACAAGTTATCATCAACAATAAGAAGGTACAAACAACACACACGCTAGCATTTAAACACCGAACTATCATGCTTATCAAACGGGTAAACCGAACGTAGTTCCGAAGAACACACAAGACTCATCACGGTTCAAGGAAACACAATGTTGAACACTTAGCATGATTCAAGACACCAAAACCTACATGGAATCCTACCATATAGTTCTAGACATACGAAACATCAAGAAGACGCTCAAATAGTTCCACAAAAGAACAACGGGAAGTCAAAAGACCAAATACCGAATCAAAAGAATCACGGGGAACAAATCCCCAACCAACCACATCATGTTCCCCGCGGGTGGGCCCACGGGTAGACCCCTACCCGCCGTTCCGCCCGCGGGTACATACCTGTACACCAAAATAATCCCTTCGGGGATTTTCAACACCAAGCTCAAATTCAAGTCCAAAACATGCCAAATCTCACCAAATACAACAAAATGACTTGAATCAAAGGAATAACTAAGCAATGACATACATGAACCCTAATAACAAGCTCTAGATATGCATTTTCAGAAGACAATGCATAAACACTCACATTTCATAGCAAAATCACATGTAGAATCCAAGAATCATCAAATAGGTAAGCAAAATAGATTTTGTAGAGCATGGGTTACCTCTTGTAGACAAAATCCTTCACTTAACACTTCACCAAGCTCCTAATAAGGCTCACCTTCTAAACCCACTTCAAGAACACACCAAAAGATCATAAAGATTCTATCTTTAAGAAAAGACACCTAAGAAAACACTAAAAACACAAGATGAACAAAGATCTTACCCTCCTAGATGCCCAAATGTTTGAAAGGTAGAATCTTGGAGACAACTCTTGAAGATTTGACAAAGCTTCAACTTGGCTTGGAAGAAAAGCTATCTACCTTTTTAGAGAGAAGATAGAGCTAAAGTTTGGAAAGTGTAAGGAGAGAAATGAGGATTGTCTACTAGGTTAGCTTGCATTACTAACCCAAGGTGGAAAGTCATGAATACCCTTACCAACATAAAGAGGTGTAAGGGAACAAGGGAACTCCTTACAAAGCTTAAGGTACAACCTTGACTTTGGGGTTGACTAGTCAATTACTAGTCCCCGACTATTGAATTTTCAAGATTTTTAGGAATTAAAATACCAATTGATTTAGGATTAATTACTTAATTAATCCCATAATTGAATTTGGATTACGGGGTGTCACATTATTCATCCAAATTGAAGTTTGAAACTAATGTAATTGGCTTCTTTTGGTTAACCCGAAAAATGAGATAGTGGAATGAGAAATCTTATTAGAAAAAAATTAGATATGGTAGATGAAAACAGACAAAACTTGTGACATATGCTAGAGATGTAAACATGAAAATGTGGTCAGCCATAGACTCCTACACCCACTAAACATTCCTAAGGAGGCTTGGTAAAGTATCTCCATTGATTTTATAGAAGGCTTGCCCAAATCAAGCCAGAAGGAAGTGAAAATGGTAGTGGTGGACAGACTAACCAAATATGCCCACTTTATTACCTTGGCACACCCCTACACTGCTGAGACTGTGGCTGAATTGTTCATGGAAAATGTCTATAGGTTGCATGGTCTACCCATAAGCATCATTTCAGATAGGGATAAGATTTTCACCAGCAAATTTTAGCAAGCCATATTCAAAAACATGCAAGTCAAGCTCAACCTTTCCACTGCCTACCACCCACAAACTGATAGACGAACTGAGAAGGTGAATAAATGTGTGGAAGGGTACCTAAGATGCATGATCATTCAGAAGCATAGCAATTGGGGTTCATGGTTACACCTAGCAGAATAGTGGTACAATACTCACTATCATTCTTTCCTTAAGTGTACTCATTTTCAGGCATTGTATGGCTATGCTCCACCCTTGCTTGGGTCTAATTCATTTACCAAGAGAGAAGGATTCAATTGGATAGCTAAAAGGGAATAAATCCTAGTTGTTCTAAAGAAATCCTCATACAGGCACAAAATCGAATAAAGTCCAAGTAGATAAGAACATGAGCGAAAGGAGCTTAGAGGTTGGGGATTGGGTTTATCTCAAAGTCCATCCCTATAGGCATGCGTCTTTAGCTGTCAAAGTCAATCTCAAACTGGCATCCAAATACTATGGTCCCTACAAAGTGGTGGAGAAGATTGGTGAAGTGGCATACAAGCTATTGTTGCTTCTTGGTTCACTATTGAACCTAGTGTTCCATATATCACAATTGAAAAAGAGGATTGGTAATAGCATAGTGGCTCAGTTTAAACCTCCAGAGGTACGCCGAGATGGGCAGGTGCTGGCAGAGCTTCTTGCTGTACTGGGGAAGAGGTTATTTAAGAGGAATAACCAAGTTGTCACCCAAAATTTGGTTCAGTGGGCTAAGTTTCCTAGAGAGGATACAACTTGGGAAGATTATTACCACATCCGTAGCCAATTTCCATCTTTTAATCCTTGGGGACAAGGATAACTAGGAGGGGAGGGTGATGTAACAGCCCAGAAAGAAGCCATTAATGGAGTTGAAGGAGAGATTGAGAGAAGAGATTCGGGAAGAAACAGAGAGAAACTGGAACTGGGAAACAAGAAGGAAGGGACGAAACGTCGTCGCATGAGGAGGTGGTTAAAAGCCGTTGAAGTTGGAGGCCAAACATCGTCGTTTTGGAGTAACCGTTGATGAGAGTTGAGACGCTCATCACACGACGTCGTTTTACTTGTCCGGTAATTATTTGCAGTTTTCCTTTACCAACTGTGTCTATTATAACTCCTATAGTGTAGGGAGTGGTTAATCAGCTTATATGTAAACCCAGAGGGGATGAATAGATTTTCTTATGCGAAATAACATATACTCAATTTTTTTTTTCTTTTCTTCAACCCCAAATCTCCTTCTAATTCCCTAAACCATATTTCTCTACTAAGTCTATTCCAGTTTGTTTTATTCTTCTGAAGGTGGGGAAAAAGATAAAACAAAACAAAACGGATTATTCATTCAAATTGAAGGTTAAAACTAATGTAATTGACTTCTTTTGATTTACCTGAAAAATGAGATAGTGGAATGAGAAATCTTATTAGAAAAA